GTTCAGGAGTCTTATGGCTTGGGGGTAGAAGCTGTTAAGAAGCGTTTTGGACCTAGACTTGGCACTCCAGTACCGCTTGCCGTGCGGTAGCAGAGAGAACAGTCTATGACTAAGGTGGCTGGAGTCTGACAATTTTTATGGCCTTCCTCTGACACCGCCTAGTGTAGAGGTCCTGGATGGCAGGAAGCTTGGCCCCAGCGATGTACCTCTGTAGTGCCTTGCGGTCAGAGGCCGAGCAGTTGCCATACCAGGCTGTGATGCAACCAGTCAGGATAATAATAATAATAATATGCCATTTAGCAGACGCTTTTATCCAAAGCGACTTACAGTCATGCGTGCATACATTTTTTTTTTTTTGTGTATGGGTGGTCCCGGGGATCGAACCCACTACCTTAGCGTTACAAGCGCCGTGCTCTACCAGCTGAGCTACAGAGGACCACAGGATGCTCTCGATGGTGCAGCTGTATAACTTTTTGAGGATCTGAGGACACACGCCAAATCTTTTCAGTCTCCTGAGCGGGAATAGGCCTTGTCGTGCCCTCTTCACGACTGTCTTGGTGTGTTTCAACCATGATAGTTCGTTGGTGATGTGGACACCAAGGAACTTGAAGCTCTCAACCTGTTCCACTACAGCCCCGTCGATGAGAATGGGGGCGTGCTCAGTCCTCTTTTTCTTCCTGTAGTCCACAATCATCTCCTTTGTCACATTGAGTGAGAGGTTGTTATCTTGGCACCACATGGCCAGGTCTCTGACCTCCTCCCTATAGGCTGTCTCACCGTTATCGGTGATCAGGCCTACCACTGTTGTGTGATCGGCAAACTTAACGATTGTGGTCCTCTGTAGCTCAATTGGTAGAGCACGGCGCTTGTAACGCCAGGGTAGTGGGTTCGATCCCCGGGACCACCCATACGTAAAAATGTATGCACACATGACTGTAAGTCGCTTTGGATAAAAGCGTCTGCTAAATGGCATATTATTATGGTGTTGGAGTCGTGCCTGGCCATGCAGTCGTGGGTGAACAGGGAGTACAGGAGGGGACTGAGCACGCACCCCTGAGGGGCCTCAGTGTTGAGGATAAGTGTGGTAAATGTGTTGTTACCTACCCTTACCACCTGGGAGTGGCCCGTCAGGAAGTCCAGGATCCAGTTGCAGAGGGAGGTGTTTAGTCCCAGGGTCCTTAGCTTAGTGATGAGCTTGAGGGCACTATGGTGTTGAACGCTGAGCTGTAGTCAATGAATAGCATTCTCACGTAGGTGTTCCTTTTGTCAAGGTGGGAAAGGGCAGTGTGGAGTGCAAAAGAGATTGCATCATCTGTGGATCTGTTGGGGCGGTATGCAAACTGGAGTTGGTCTATGGTTTCTGGGATAATGGTGTTTATGTGAGCCATGACCAGCCTTTTAAACCACTTTATGGCTACAGACGTGAGTGCTACGGGTCTGTAGTCATTTAGGCAGGTTACCTTAGTGTTCTCGGGCACAGGGACTATGGTGGTCTGCTTAAAACATGTTGGTATTACAGACTCAGTCAGGGACAGGTTGAAAATGTCAGTGAAGACACTTGCCAGTTGGTCAGCGCATGCTCGGAGTACACGTCCCGGTAATCCGTCTGGCCCTGTGGCCTTGTGAATGCTGACCTGCTTAAAAGTCTTACTCACATCGGCTACGGAGAGCGTGATCACTCAGTCGTCCGGAACGGCTGATGCTCTCATGCATGCTTCAGTGTTGCTTGCCTCGAAGCGAGCATAGAAGTGAATTAGCTCGTCTGGTAGGCTCGTGTCACTGGGGAGCTCGCGGCTGTGCTTCCCTTTGTAGTCTAATAGTTTGCAAGCCCTGCCACATCCGACGAGCGTCGGAGCCGGTGTAGTACGATTCAATCTTAGTCCTGTATTGACGCTTTGCCTGTTTGATGGTTCGTCGGAGGGCACAGTGGGATTTCTTATAAGCGTCTGGGTTCGAGTCCTCGATGCACTTATTGATGAAGCCAGTGACTGATGTGGTGTACTCCTCAATGACATCGGAAGAATCCCGGAACATATTCCTGTCTGTGCTAGCAAAACAGTCCTGTAGCTTAGCATCTGCGTCATCTGACCACTTCTTTATTGACCGAGTCACCAGTGCTTCCTGCTTTAGTTTTTGCTTGTAAGCAGGAATCAGGAGGATAGAATTATGGTCAGATTTGCCAAATGGAGGGCATGGGAGAACTTTGTACGCATCTCTGTGTGTGGAGTAAAGGTGGTCTTCAGTTTTTTTCCCTCTGGTTGCACATTTAACATGCTGGTAGAAATGAGGTAAAACTGATTTAAGTTTCCCTGTATTAAGTCCCCGGCCACTAGGAGCGCCACCTCTGGATGAGCGTTTTCCTGTTTGCTTATGCCTTATACAGCTCATTGAGTGCGGTCTTAGTGCCAGCATCGGTTTGTGGTGGTAAATAGACAGCTACGGAAAAAAGATATAGATGAAAACTCTCTCGGTAAATAGTGTGGTCTACAGCTTATCATGTAATACTACCGCAGGTGAGCAAAACAGAGACTTCCTTAATATTAGATTTCACCAGCTGTTTACAAATATACACAGACTGCCACCCCTTGTCTTACCGGAGGCCGTTGTTCCATTTTGCCAATACAGCTGTATGTTATCCAGGTCGTCGTTCAGCCACGACTCGGTGAAACATAAGATATTACAGTTTTTAATGTCCCGTTGGTAGGATATTGGTGATCGTAGCTCATCAGTTTTGTTATCCAATGATTGTACGTTGGCTAATAGGACTGACGGAAGAGGCAGATTACCAACTCACCGTCGGATCCTTACAAGGCACCCGACCTACGTCCCCGATATCTCCGTCTCTTTCTCCTGCGAATGACGGGATTTGGGCCTGGTCGGGTGTTTGAAGTAAATCCTTCGCGTCCAACTCGTTGAAGAAAAAAATCTTCGTCCAGTACGAGGTGAGTAATCGCTGTTCTGATATCCAGAAGCTCTTTTCGGTCGTAAGAGACGGTGGCAGAAACATTATATACAAAAGAAGTTACAAATAATGTGAAAAAACACGCCTAATAGCACAATTGGTTAGGAGCCCGTAAAACGGCAGCCATCTCCTCCGGCGCCATTACAGTCAGTGCCTTATTTGTTGTTATTTCTCTGCTACACGTGGAAATCAACACAACGTTTAAAAATTTGAACTGGGGATCAATGCGTGTGACAAATGTTGCTAACGTTTAAACTGCCATTTGTTTATCATTTAGACTATAAGAAAAATCATAAAATTACGTGAATTCACAATTCAGATATGGTCCTCCGTATGACCGCTAAGGGGAAATGTAGTTCAATCTACCGCAGTCCTGGCTACCTACCAGATGGTCGTCACTAATTACCACAGCCACAAAATAATAAATCCCGCCGATTTCTACAACTTCTCTTCTTAAAGCTGCAATACGTAACTTTTGGGGCGACCCGACCAAATTCACATAGAAATCTGAGTTATAGATCTGTACTTCTCATTGAAAGCAAGTCTAAGAAGCGGTAGATCTGTTCTATGTGCGCTATTTCTACGTTTCCCATTCTTAAGTTTTGTTTTTGCATCTTTTACTTTCGGTTTTGTACACCAGCTTCAAACTGCTGAAAACACAAATATTTTTGGTTAAGTTAAATATATTTCACAGCGGTTTAGATGGTACGATGATTCTCTACACTACACTTGCTTGTTTTGCCACAAACTGAAAATTAGGCAAACGATTAGAATTTTAGCAACCAGGAAATGGCAGAGCGATTTCTGCATAGTTCATCTTTAAAATGTGATTTTAAACCTAACCACAGGGCTAACCTTATGCCCAACCCTAAATTTAGACGAAAAAGTGCATTTATTTTCATTCATTTTTACGATTATAGACTATTTTGACTGTGGCTTTGCGATCTAGTGGAAACCCTACCAGACGGAGCTCACCTTACAGCTGCCCCCCACCCACTCAGCAACAATTATCTGCTGTGTGCCTGTTCTCATCAATGTGATGGCTCGTTGCAGTGATGTATGACAGCGTGTTCATCGACGTCCAACACTCTGGTGTTTGAGTGCTTGCGCTTTGTACTTGCAGAGCAATCATTGTACATCCGGGTGTTCACGGTTTGGCATCTTGTAGTCTGGCTATAGACATGCCATTAAGGCAACATTGAAGCCGGCATCCTCTACCATTGACAATGGCTGCATATCAACTGCAATCATTTCTGTAATCAGCGCTGTGATTCTCACTCAGTCCCTAATCGCACTGCTGCCAGCAACAGGTTGGGTCTCACGGCGCCTCCCTTCAGCATTGCACCTGTACGGCCTCTGTAGCGCAATTCCACCTCACAAAGTTTGCATTTCACAACTTTCTCATTTAACTTTTCAAAGTATACAGAACTTTGCTGCTGTCGCTTCCCTGTCTCACTCTCTGCCATTTTTCTAACGGTTAATGACAATGACATGCGGAGCGCTTTATAACTGTAGCAGTCCTGTTTGGCTCAGTTGGTAGAGCACGGTGCTTGCAACGCCAGGGTTGTGGGTTCGATTCCCACAGGGGACCAGTATGGAAAATGTATGCACTCACTACCGTAAGTCGCTCTGGATAAGAGCGTCTGCTAAATGACTAAAATGTAAATAATTTGAAAGATGCCCATCTCCTCCTGCTAACATTAAAGCATTGTTGTGTTAGGTATGTTTACTTTTTCCCTTTATGTGATCGGGGCCTGTTAGTGGTAATTTAGTGATAACTGCACTGTGATTTTAAATTTGGTTAAAAAAAAGTTTAGGTTAGGGATTTTTTCTAAACGTTAATGATCCCAATTTCGTTTAAATGTCACACCCCTACTTAATACAGTGCAATAACTTGGAACAGATGTAGTATGAATGTGTGTACTAAGCCAGAGTATGCCGATATCTGGAGCAAGTGAACAGAAAATGTATTCGAATAAGTATCAGTAGATTGATTGATTGTGCACTTATCAGGAGTCAACTGTAGATGGCACCTACTTGGCATCTCATCGTCGTCCTCACTCTCGTCCACCACCCGTTTTGCAGGACTTTCCTTCTCCTGGTCACTGCCTGCAGCTGCTTTCGCTGGCCGAGCCTCCACCTCATCCTCACTGTCGGACTGCATTACAGCCTTCCACTTCCCTTTCCCCTCGCCGCACTCCTCCTCCTCTCCATCAGACTCCATCTGCGCTTTGTGTTCGGGCGCCTCAGTCTCAGAGTCACTGCGTGCATTCGAGTGTCTGCTCCGGACTCGGGACGGGGGCCGATCCTCGTTCTCAGAGTCGCTCACGGTTGCAGCCTGTTTGGTTTCTTTCTCCTCTACATCTGAGGTGCTGCCCCTGCGTTTGGGTGGGGGGGAGCCCTCTACGTCTGAGGTGCTGCCCCTGCGTTTGGGTGGAGGGGAGCCCTCTACGTCTGAGGTGCTGCCCCTGCGTTTGGGTGGGGGGGAGCCCTCTACGTCTGAGGTGCTGCCCCTGCGTTTGGGTGGGGGGGAGCCCTCTACGTCTGAGGTGCTGCCCCTGCGTTTGGGTGGGGGGGAGCCCTCTACGTCTGAGGTGCTGCCCCTGCGTTTGGGTGGGGGGGAGCCCTCTACGTCTGAGGTGCTGCCCCTGCGTTTGGGTGGGGGGGACTCCTCTATGTCCGAGTTACTGCCTCTGCATTTGGGTGGGGGGGAGCCCTCTACGTCTGAGGTGCTGCGTTTGACTGGGGACCCCTCCTTGTTATCGCTGTCTGCAAGCCTAGGGGCCTCCTCCTCAAAGTCACTGTCCTCCCCTTTGTGTCCCTCGTTGTCTGACCCGCTGGCCACGCCGGTTGTCTCCATGGCCTGAGCAGCTCCCTCACCATCACTATTCTCATCCTGCATAACAAATGGTGGAAATATAAAACCCTTCATAAGTCTACGGTTAGGAATGGATGCAGGGTTCTACAGTGCAACCATCTTACTAGCATATGCGGCCAAATATTTTGCTGTGCAATCTGACATTATTTAGGAGCACTAGAGCGCTTTGAAAAATGAACGATTTTAGCTTTATAACCACATTTGTCGTTGTGCTCCTAAATGTCTTTGTGTGCGCCTACATTTATCCTTGTAAAAAATGTCAGCGTAGACCCCTTGGATATTATATATATATTTTTTTACAAGTTAATCTGTATGTGCAAGATGGTGTGGAAATCAAGAGGGCTTGACCACCACACTAGACTGTTGTTGAACACAGGTTATCTGAATGTCTTGCTTAGACGACTATCCCCTTACCTCGGAGTGGCGCGGCTCATTCCTCATCTCCTCTTCCGCATCTGAACCGAGAGCATTTTCGTCCTGTACCGGGGTGCCACCACCATCTACAGGACATAACCAACACATGTTTTGGCATTCCAGAATTAATGTACACAACTATTGGTATCATATACAATGGGCATGACTACCATGTACACAATAATATTGATACAACAGTAGCTAAGATGGGTAAAGGTCTGTCCATAATAAATCGCTGCTCTGCCTTCTTAACAATATCAACAGGGCAGGTCCTACAGGCCCTAGTTTTGTTGCTCCTGGACTACCGCCCAGTTGTGTGGTAAGGTGCCACAAAGAGGAAATTGGGAAAAGTATTACTGGCCCAGAACAAGGCAGCACGGCTGGCCCTTAAATGTACATGTAGAGTTAACATAAATAATATGCATGGCTCAAAGTAAAGGAGAGATTGACTTCATCACTACTTGTTTTTGTAAGACGTATTGACACGTTGAATGCACCGAGCTGTCTGTTTAAACTACTAACACAGCTCGGACACCCATGCATACCCCACAAGAGGGCACACACTTATTGTGAAATCTGTTGTCAAATATATTTTAATGTTCACAAATACTATTATAATGTATATTACTGCCTTCATTTTTACTGGACCCAGGAAGAGTGGGGATCCATAATAAATACAAATACCAAAAATACACGAAAGAACAGACATCTCGTTGCTGGTACAATAAACAACAAAGCAATTCTAGGACCTAACTAGCAAGCTAGTCCCCGCCGAGGCGGAATCAAAGCAGTTCTTACCAGAGTGGTTCCCGGAGAAGAATTCGTCCTCTTCGCCATCCATTTGTCCGAAAGACACTACGGACAATCAGCTCAGTACTTAGGCTCAGCGATTAATCCATTGTATCTGTATTTATTGCATCAACGAGAAAATGCAAGTTCCGAAACAAGCAATCTAACGTTACACCGACAAATGTGGGCCCTACTGCTAGCGAACGTTAGCTAGTTAGCAACCACAACTTGAACGTCAAGATCTAGCTAATGAAATAATACCATCTGGTCGGAAAGCTAGCCAGCAATGAGTGTCTCTGGCCGTCAACAAATTAAAACAACAGCTAATTGATCAACATTAGCAAGTAACGTTACCTGAAGAAAACAGTCCTGCGATGTCCCAAATGGCGTCAAAGAACTGGAGCCGTCATATGCACATGCGTTTTGGTCCCGCTTCGAATGACGTAATTGTTATGCGCCTTTACATGTAGTTTGAAATTATTTGGGACTTCTGTTGTACACAGTCGTGGTCAAAAGTTTTGAGAATGACAAGTATTGGTCTTCACAAAGTTGCTGCTTCAGTGTTATGAGATTTTTTTGTCAGATGTTACTATGGTATACTGAAGTATAATTACAAGCATTCTATAAGTGTCAAAGGCTTTTATTGACAATTACATTAAGTTTATGCAAAGAGTCAATATTTGCAATGTTTACCCTTCTTTTTCAAGACCTCTGCAATCCGCCCTGGCATGCTGTCAATTAACTTCTGGGCCACATCCTGACTGATGGCAGCCCATTCTTGCATAATCAATGCTTGGAGTTTGTCAGAATTTGTGGGGTTTTGTTTGTCCACCCGCCTCTTGAGGATCAACCACAAATTCTCAATGGGATTAAGGTCTGGGGAGTTTCCTGACCATGGACCAAAAATGTCAATGTTTTGTTCCCCGAGCCACTTAGTTATCACTTTTGCCTTATGGCAAGGTGCTCCATCATGCTGGAAAAGGCATTGGTCGTCACCAAACTGTTCTTGGATGGTTGGGAGAAGTTTCTCTCGGAGGATGTGTTGGTACCATTTTTTATTAATGTCTGTGTTCTTAGGCAAAATTGTGAGTGAGCCCACTCCCTTGGCTGAGAAGCAACCCCACACATGAATGGTCTCAGGATGCTTTACTGTTGGCATGACACAGGACTGATGGTAGCGCTCACCTTGTCTTCTCCGGACACTGTGTTTTCTGGATGCCCCAAACAATCGGAAAGGGGATTCATCAGAGAAAATGACTTTACCCCAGTCCTCAGCAGTCGAATCCCTGTACCTTTTGCAGAATATCAGTCTGTACCTGATGTTTTTCCTGGAGAGAAGTGGCTTCTTTGCTGCCCTTCTTGACACCAGGCCATCCTCCAAAAGTATTCGCCTCACTGTGCGTGCAGATGCACTCACACCTGCCTGCTGCCATTCCTGAGCAAGCTCTGCAGTGGTGGTGCCCCGATCCCGCAGCTGAATCAACTTTAGGAGACGGTCCTGGTGCTTGCTGGACTTTCTTGGGCGCCCTGACGCCTTCTTCACAACAATTGAACCTCTCTCCTTTAAGTTCTTGATGATCCGAGAAATGGTTGATTTAGGTGCAATCTTACTAGCAGCAATATCCTTGCCTGTGAAGCCCTTTTTGTGCAAAGCAATAATGACAGCACGTGTTTCCTTGCAGGTAACCATGGTTAACAGAGGAAGAACAATGATTTCAAGCACCACCCTCCTTTTAAAGCTTCCAGTCTGTTATTCTAACTCAATCAGCATGACAGAGTGATCGCCAGCCTTGTCCTCGTCAACACTCTCACCTGTGTTAACGAGAGAATCACTGACATGATGGCAGCTGGTCCTTTTGTGGCAAGGATGAAATGCAGTGGAAATGTTTTTTTGGGATTATGTAAATTTTCATTGCAAAGAGGGATTTTGCAATTAATTGCAGTTCATCTGATCACTCTTCATGACATTCTGGAGTATATGCAAATTGCCATCATCAAAACTGAGGCAGCAGACTTTGTGAAAATTTGTATGTGTCATTCTCAAAACTTTTGACCACGACTGTACAGTACTTTTGTACGGTAGGCTACCGTACATTAAAGGATTACTTTTAATTTTTTATAACCAAATCTAAATTTTTTATGTAAATGGCATGTTATAGAAGGGTCCAGACACCTTTTTTGTTGTTGTGATTTCACGTTGTAGAGAAACTTACCCCAAACAGCAAATCACTTCCTCATCCTCATTGTTGTATAGGGTCCTGAAAAAACATGAACAAAACGTATTTTTAGAAACGGCAAAACTCTAGTGATGCAGGTCTTTAGATGTTGTACGCATGAAGTTGTGTCATTCTGAACTTTATCCACCTGCTGCTACAGGTACCTGCCAAAATAAAGGAAACACCAACATAGTGTCTTTATAGGGTGTTGGGACACTACAAGCAGCCAAAACAGCTTCAATGCGCCTGTCTGGAACTTCCTGTGTGGAAGCACCCCATGTTTCAATATACTTTGTATCCCTCATTTACTTAAGTGTTTCCTTTATTTTGGCAGTTACCTGTAAAACGGACACAGGTATCTCTGGAGTCACAACAAAATTGAATATAACGTTGCAGATAAAGTACGGTATGACACAGTTTCATGTGTACAACATCTAAAGACCTGCATCACTATACTGAAAGCTTTGCTGTTTCTAAAAGGATGTATTTGGAGCCTTTGTTCATGTTTTTTTCAGGGGCCCCATACTACACAATAAGGATAAGGAAGTGATTTGCTGTTTGGGGTAAGTTTCTCTAAAACATGTGAAATCACTAAATATTTGTCTGGACCCTTCTATTTCTCCCGAGTAGCGCAGCGGTCTAAGGCACTGCATCGCAGTGCTAGCTGTGCCACTAGAGATCCTGGTTCGAATCCAGGCTCTGTCGTAGCTGGCCGCGACCGGGAGACCCATTGGGCGGCGCACAATTGGCCCAGGGTAGGGGAGGGAATGGCCGGCAGGGTTGTAGAGCATGGCGTTTGCAACGCCAGGGTTGTGGGTTCGTTTCCCATGGGGGGCCAGTATAAAAATTAAAATAATGTATGCACTCACTAACTGTAAGTCGCTCTGGATAAGAGCGTCTGCTAAATAATGTAAATATAACATTTTCTTTACATAAAATAGAGATTTTGTTGTAAAAATGAACTTCTTTAAGGACTGTACTCATTATTTAAATCACATAATAATAATAAATAATATGCCATTTAGCAGACGCTTTTATCCAAAGCGACTTACAGTCATGCGTGCATACATTTTTGTGTATGGGTGGTGCCGGGGATCGAACCCACTACCTTGGCGTTACAAGCGCCGTGCTCTACCAGTTGAGCTACAGAGGACCACACATCTGGGACACTGTGTAATATGGATGTTCATTGTAAACCATAATTCAATAAAAACTAATAACAGTATTAAGACACATTTTATTATATCTGACTGTGCCACAGTAAAATAATATATAATAGGCCTATATGTAAGCAAAAAGGACCTAGGGGGTGTGGTATATTGGCCACATACAGTGAGGGAAAAAAGTATTTGATCCCCTGCTGATTTTGTACGTTTGCCCACTGACAAACACATGATCAGTCTATAATTTTAATGGTAGGTTTATTTGAACAGTGAGAGACAGAATAATAACAAAAAATCCAGAAAAACGCATGTCAAAAATGTTATAAATTGATTTGAGGGAAATAAGTATTAGACCCCTCTGCAAAACATGACTTAGTACTTGGTGGCAAAACCCTTGTTGGCAATCACAGAGGTCAGACGTTTCTTGTAGTTGGCCACCAGGTTTGCACACATCTCAGGAGGGATTTTGTCCCACTCCTCTTTGCAGATCTTCTCCAAGTCATTAAGGTTTCGAGGCTGACGTTCGGCAACTCGAACCTTCAGCTCCCTCCACAGATTTGATATGGGATTAAGGTCTAGAGACTGGATAGGCCACTCCAGGACCTTAATGTGCTTCTTCTTGAGCCACTCCTTTGTTGCCTTGGCCGTGTGTTTTGGGTCATTGTCATGCTGGAATACCCATCCCACGACCCATTTTCAATGCCCTGGCTGAGGGAAGGAGGTTCTCACCCAAGATTTGACAGTACATGTCCCGTCCATCGTCCCTTTGATGCGGTGAAGTTGTCCTGTCCCCTTAGCAGAAAAACACCCCCCAAAGCATAATGTTTCCACCTCCATGTTTGACGGTGGGGATGGTGTTCTTGGGGTCATAGGCAGCATTCCTCCTCCTCCAAACACGGCGAGTTGAATTGATGCCAAAGAGCTCAATTTTGGTCTCATCTGACCACAACAGTTTCACCCAGTTCTCCTCTGAATCATTCAGATGTTCATTGGCAAACTTCAGACGGGCATGTATATGTGCTTTCTTGAGCAGGGGGACCTTGCGGGCACTGCAGGATTTCAGTCGTTCACGGCGTAGTGTGTTACCAATTGTTTTCTTGGTGACTATGGTCCCAGCTGCCTTGAGATCATTGACAAGATCCTCCCGTGTAGTTCTGGGCTGATTCCTCACCGTTCTCATGATCATTGCAACTCCACGAGGTGAGATCTTGCATGGAACCCCAGGCCGAGGGAGATTGACAGTTCTTTTGTGTTTCTTCCATTTGCGAATAATCGCACCAACTGTTGTCACCTTCTCACCAAGCTGCTTGGCGATGGTCTTGGAGCCCATTCCAGCCTTGTGTAGGTCTACAATCTTGTCCCTGACATCCTTGGAGAGCTCTTTGGTCTTGGCCATGGTGGAGAGTTTGCAATCTGATTGATTGATTGCTTCTGTGGACAGGTGTCTTTTATACTCTCTTTAAGAGTGTGCTCCACTCAGCTCGTTACCTGTGTAAAAGACACCTGGGAGCCAGAAATCTTTCTGATTGAGAGGGGGTCAAATACTTATTTCCATCATTAAAATGCAAATCAATTTATAACATTTTTGACAGGCGTTTTTCTGGATTTTTTTGTTGTTATTCTGTCTCTCACTGTTCAAATAAACCTACCATTAAAATTATAGACTGATCAGTGGGCAAACGTACAAAATCAGCAGGGGATCAAATACTTTTTCCCTCACTGTACCACAAACCCCTGAGGTGCCTAATTGCCATTATATCAACATAAGCAGAACTGTCAAGTATTTCTGCATCATATTGTCTAATATACACACAGCTGAAATGCTGTTTTAGCTAATCAGCATCCAGGATCCAAACTATCCGCTTTATAATGCGTTCTAAATCCCTGCATTCTCATTTTACAGTTTTGGTCCACTTACTGTATTTCCCCTGCAAACAAAAACATAACAATAACAGTGTATGGTATTATAAGGAGCCATTGCTTTCAATGGGATTTATTCAGACTCAAATTGAGAGATTAACTGGGGTGTAATCATTAGTACACACTGTAGCAAAAATGTTTCACAACAGAAAACGTTCTGCAATGAAAACGAGTTCTTATTGGACAAATTTGGGTAGGTCCCACCCTGTTTCATCCCGTTTGGTTCCTAGTGAATACACCCCACGTTCAGCAAGAATCAACTGTTCCCTCAGATGACTTGTAAGTAGTAACATGTATCGGCTACTGCACGCAGCAGTTCAGTCTGTAAGTGGAAGTCATCTAATAACATCTGAAATATTGGAGTGGCTACAGTCCATAACAATATGTTAAAATATAATACTTTAGTATTCTATATGTAACACTTTTATAGTCCTTATTTATGTGCTTTTCGGGCATTACAGCAGACTGAGCAAACCCAGTTCACATGCATCCATCCTATGTAACATCCATTCACAGGAATTGGGGCATTCATTCCTTGAGGGTTGAAGGGTCTGCTGAGCGTTATTCAAGACTGTAACATTGATTATAATTATAAGTTCTAAACAGGATTGAGATCCTAAGACCGTTTGCTTCCTTTACAACACCTTGTAGCAGTAGGCCTAGTAGTTTATCTGTTTAATTTTCTTTGCAAAACTGTTCAGGTAACCTTTCTAATAACTTCAAAATTGTGGCTCAAAACTGAAGCAAATTATCAATTAAACATTTTGTTGAAGTCAGAACTTGATCTGTTATTTAACTGCTGAGGCACAATGACAACTGTCAGACACTGCAGTCTTGAAGGACCAGGAGGGTGCAACTTTACAGAATGTTCAGAAATAAATGTTTTGTATAGATCAGGTGTGAGTGTTTGTGATGTCGAACTGTGAGTCATGTCATTTCTACCTGCAACGTTGTGAATGTTTCACCTCATTGAATTAACCTCTGTGTTCCCCATTCCTGACCTGAAATGTGGTAACGCCCCTTTTCCTTTATAATTCCCAACTCAAGGTCTCCTCCTCCTCCTCTTACTTTACATGGGAGAATCTCAATTGCATAATCCTCACGTCCTCTCTCCTCGCCTCCTTCTCAAAACCCATTGGATGAGAAAGCCAGAGGCCCCACCCATCTGACCTTTTCCTCCAATGTGTTTTTAGGAGGGGGCAAGATGAGAGGACGCACGGAGTATGTCATTGAGATTCTCCCTATGTCTCTTCCTCCTCCTCCTCTGCCTTGCGCTGGTGATTCACTATCCTCTTCTCTTGTCCCTCCTCTTCTCCGCTTCTGCTGAACTGTCGACGGGTGAGTCTTTCTGGATCGTGAGAAGCCATATCACTGAAGTCACGGAAGATGTCTTGAAATGTCTCATCGTCACCTGGAGAGGAACACACGAGCAGAGCAGCAAAACTGAGTGTTTGAAATAAGGGTTGTGTTTAGTAGGCACGAAATGGAAGAAAACACTCTGTACTTGTTCAATACGAACAAGCCGTTTTAGTCTTCGTTGCAAAACGTTTTGCTATGGTGAGCCCTAATGAATACGACCCAGCACATAAAAACAGCATTTTAGGAGTGTTCATGTTCAGCACGGACAGAGAAGTCTGGCTGATACCAAAACTCGAAGTCCTCCTGACGTCATAGTCTAGGTAGGCTGTTCGATGCTGTGAGCACGATGCGTCAATAATGAAGGGGGCTTTTACTGGTTTGTTCTCCTCTTCATATTTCTCACTCAAACACCCTCATGGACAGCCACACGCAGCTCCGGAGCACCGACCCCTTTCATTACAACTGTTTGATTTTCAAATCCAAACAATGAGAGGTCTCAACGTTTGAGAGAACCAATCAAAGCTTGCTCTATTTCTGACCGAATATTAGAGAATGGCGCCGGAGGGGATGGCTGCCATTTTACGGGCTCCTAACCAACTGTGCTATTTTGTTTGTTTTTTCTCATTGTTTGTAATTTATTTTGTACATAATGTTGCTGCTACCGTCTCTTATGACCAAAAATAGCTTCTGGATATCAGAACAGCGAGTACTCGCTTCGAACTAGACGAAGATTTTTACTTTAATGAGTCCGACGCGAAGGATATACTCCTTCTCCGAGACCAGGCCCAAATCCCCGTCATTCGCGTGAAGAAAAGACGGATATACAGGGGGCGAAGACTGGGGTGCCTTGTGAGAGTTCGTCGGCGAGTGGGTAACCCGCCTCTATCATCCGTTCTATTGGCCAACGTGCAATCACTGGAGAAAAAAATTGATGATCTCCGTTCGAGACTATCCTACCAACGGGACATTCAAAACTGTAATACCTTATGTTTCACCGAGTCGTGGCTGAACGATATATTTGGCTGGATTTTCCATGAATCGGCAGGACAGAACAGCTACGTCTGGTGTGGTGGTTTGTGTCTATTGGTCAATACCAGCTGGTGCGCGATGTCTAATATTAAGGAAGTCTCGAGGTATTGCTCGCCTGACGTAGAGTACCTCATGATAAGCTGTAGACCACACTATCTACCGAGAGAGTTTATCTATATTTTTCATAACCGTCTAATTACCACCACAAACCGATGCTGGCACTAAGACCGCACTCAACGAGCTGAATAAGGCCATAAGCAAACAAGAAAATGCTCATCCAGAAGCGGCGCTCCTAGTGGCCGGGACTTTAATGCAGGCAAACTTAAATCCGTTTAACCTCATTTCTACCAGCATGTCACATGTGCAACCAGAGGGAAAAAAAACTCTAGACCACCTTTACATCACACACAGAGACGCATACAAAGCTCTCCCTCGCCGTCCATTTGGCAAATCTGACCATAATTCTATCCTCCTGATTCCTGCTTAGAAGCAAAAACTAAAGCAGGAAGTACCAGTGACTCGCTCAATACAGAGCGAGTCACTATATTGGCATTGAGGAGTACACCACATCAGTCACTGGCTTCATCAATAAGTGCATCGACGACGTCGTCCCTACAGTGACCGTACGTACATATCCCAACCAGAAGCCATGGATTACAGGCAACATCCGCACCGAGCTAAAGGCTAGAGCTGCCGCTTTCAAGGAGCGGGACACTACTCCGGATGCTTATAAGAAATCCCGCTATGCCCTCAGACAAACCATCAAACAGGCAAAGCGCTGAAGCTCGTCGGATGTGGCAGGGCTTGCAAACTACTACGGACTACAAAGGGAAACCCAGCCACGAGCTGCCCAGTGACGCAAGCCTACCAGACGAGTTAAAAACCTTTGTGAGCAAGACCTTTAAACAGGTCAACATTCACAAGTCCGCAGGGCCAGACGGATTACGAGGACGTATAGTCAGAGCATGCGCGGACCAACTGGCAAGTGTCTTCACTGACCCTCAGGGGTGAGCTCTGATGTCATGTATAGCATGTTACTGTACAGCCAATTTAGGTGCTTATCATCTGCCATTTTCAACCCGTATACAGGTACAACTGTAAAGGGTACAGGTGAGAAACAAATAAAGGTATACGTATTTTATTAAACATCAACATAGTGAATGTTACCCATAGATCCAAAGAATCCCTCGGAGTCTCTCATCTCTTCATTCATGCGAGCCATTCGTAGTCTGGAAGACAGTCCCCCAAAAATAGAGGGCATTAACAAACAAAGCCTCCACCTTTCCTGCATTTCATAGAGTAGATTTACTTACAGGGTCACAATATCGGCGTGTGCTGTCTCTATGGCAATGGCGAGTGGGTCCTGCCCCCTCTCGTCAACAGCATACTGATTGGCTCCCTTCTTTAGAAGTAGACACACTTGCCTGTGAGGAACATGAGGCATACATGCTATTAATTTGCACCCACCAAACTGATTTGAACCAATCATAGACTTTGATATACTATAGCCTAAGACAGCAGTGGTTCTCAAAGGTACTGCAGGGGGTCAACAACAACAACAACAACAACAGAAGAAGATAAAGGGCCGGATACGTGGTTAGTCCGCCCTGCATTGCCAAAATCATACTAAACCTCCTTGCATGTTTTTTTTATTGCATTCTCAAGTAGAAGTTGAGTCCTGATGAATTTGCTATTACAAAAAGGGGTCCACGGCCCCAAAAACATTGAGAACCCGTGGCCTAAGACATGGATGGACTTCTTCTATTGCTATTTGCAGGCCAAGGACTTTACCCTGACCATAAACTCTGGTTCCTAGTTACGGGCATTGTTCCAATAGCATACCACTTAGAATGAAGCTAAGTTTTGGGCATGCATTGTAAGTGGTATGCTAGTGTGGATATTGTAAAATAGCCAGCCGTAGTCTATGGTGTTGCCCATCCCTGCTCTATATGCTGTCTTCCCTGTCTGTGTTAGGGTTGGACAATGGTATCGCACCCTTACTCCAGATTTTTCACGTAGATGGCTCGGGGAGTCAAACCAGCGACATTTCAGTTACTGGACCAACGCTCTTAACCACTAGGCTACCTGGTTGTCAATCATCGTCGATAGACAATACTATGGTAATATCGCCTAACCCTAGTCTGTGTGAATTAAATAGAACACTGTCAACACCATACATATACTGTATATGTAATTGATGTATCTCTATGGGTGTGAACCTCACCCTGTGTGGCCCCAGGTGGCTGCAGTGTGAAGGGCTCCTTGACCACGCTGGTCACGGTAGTTTACATTGGCTCCATTCTGCAGCAGGAACTCACAGGCCGTAAGGGAACCCTGCAGACAGGCAGACAGACAGACAGACAGACAGACAGACAGGCAGACAGACAGACAGGCAGGCAGGCAGACAGACAGACAGGCAGGCAGACAGGCAGGCAGACAGGCAGGCAGACAACAGCAAATACAGTGCATAAGGAAAGTATTCAGAACCCTTGACCTTTTCCACATTTTGTTACGTTACAGCCTTATTCTAAAATTGATTAAACATTTTCCTCATCAATCTACGCACAATATCCCATAATGACAAAGTGAAAACTGTTTTTTAGAAATGTTTTTGCACATAAAAAACAGAAATACCTTATTTACATAAGTATTCAGACCCTTTGCTATGAGGCTCGAAATTGAGCTCAGGTGCATCCTGTGTCCATTGATCATCCTTGAGATGTTTCTACAACTTGATTGGAGTCCACCTGTGGTCATTTCAATTGATTAGACATGATTTGGAAAGGCACACACCTGTCTATATAAGGTCCCACAGTTCACAGAGCACGTCAGAGCAAAAACCTAGCCATGAGGTCGAAGGAATTGTCCGTAGAGCTCCGAGACAGGATTGTGTCGAGGCACAGATCTGGGGAAGGGTACCCAAACATTTCTGCAGCATAGAAGGTCCCCAAGAACACAGTGGCCTCCATCATTCTTAAATGGAAGAAGTTTGGAACCACCAAGACTCTTCCTAGAACTGGCACCCAGCCAAACTGAGCAATCGGGGGAGAAGGGCCTTGGTCAGGGAGGTGACCAAGAACCCGATGGTCACTCTGACTGAGCTCCAGAGTTCCTCTGTGGAGATGAGAGAACCTTCCAGAAGGACAACCATCTCTGCAGCACTCCACCAATCAGGCCTTTATGGTAGAGTGGTCAGACGGAAGCCACTCCTCAGTAAAAGGCACATGACAGCCTGCTTGGAGTTTGCCAAAAGGCACCTAAAGGACGCTCAGACCATGAGAAACAAGATTCTCTGGTCTGATGAAACCAAGATTGAACTCTTTGGCCTGAATGCCAAGCGTCACGTCTGGAGGAAACCTGGCACCATCCCTACGGTGAAGCATGGTGGTGGCAGCATCATGCTGTGGGGATGTTTTTCAGCGGCAGGGACTGGGAGGCTAGTCAGGATCGAGGGAAAGATGAACGGAGAAAAGTACAGAGAGATCCTTGATGAAAACCTGCTCCAGAGCGCTCAGGACCTCAGACTGGGGCGAAGGTTCACCTTCCAACAGGACAACGAACCTAAGCACACAGCCAAGACAACGCAGGAGTGGATTCGGGACAAGTCTCTGAATGTCCTTGAGTGGCCCAGCCAGAGCCCAGACTTGAACCTGATCGAACATCTCTGGAGAGACCTGAAAATAGCTGTGCAGCGACGCTCCCCATCCAACCTGACAGAGCTTGAGAGGATCTGCAGAGAAGAATGGGAGAAACTCCCCAAATACAGATGTGCCAAGCTTGTAGCGTCATACCCAAGAAGACTCAAGGCTGTAATCCCTACCAAAGGTGCTTCAACAAAGTACTGAGTAAAGGGTCTGAATATTTATGTAAATGTCATATTTCAGTTTATTGTTAATACATTTGCAAACGTTTATAAAAAAACGTTTTTGCTTTGTCGTTATGGGGTGTGGTGCGTAGATTGATGAGGACAAAATGTGTTCATCAATTTTAGAATAAGGCTGTAATGTAACAAAATTGGGAAAAAGTCAAGGGGTTTGAATACTTTCCGAATGCACTGTACATGTAAGATACATGCACAACCCATGTTTTAGGGCCCTGAAGTATAAAAATAAATTTAAAAAACATTAAACAAACTACCTGGTCAAAAAAACATTAAACATTATCCTGGTCAGGATAAACTTGGGGGCCTTCTATGCGAAAGTATAAATATAACACAATCTATGTCAAAGGGAGCCTCAGCGATATGACGTTGCCATGAGCAGCACTGAAGATGTTGCATGATGCAAGACGACGCACACAGAGTATCTACACATGTGCACCGGTGCACTTCAATAGCTTCAATGTGAAAACTGCGGAACCGAGAAAGCGGAGAAGTTTAGCCCTGGGATTAAATGTCCTTAGTTTTTGCGAAAAGCAGCTTGATATTACTGATTACTTTGTGCATTGCTGACTGTCCCTTTAAATAATGTCCATGGCGCTACTCACCCCAAAAGCTGAGCCAATGAGAGCGGTGCGTCCCTCCTCCTCAGCGTGGCTCCAGTTCACCTCTGCCCCCTGGGCCAACGCGGATGCCATGGTGACCAGGTCCCCTTGGCAAGCAGCCTGGTACATCTGGCGCCCTGCGTTCTCCCTCCTCTCTACAGTAACAGTCATTGAAAGAGGAATGGACTGAGACGAATTGTAGGAGTAGGACTGATTCAATTCACAGACAGACACACACACACACAAACAACATCAAACCCATGCGGAGGTGGGTAGTAGGATAGGGACCTACGTGTTTCAGGCAAGCTGTCATCCTTTACAAATCTTTTCTCAACATATTTCTCTTTAATCCATGTCTCTTTCTCTGGGCTGAAATAGAGATAGATAGAATCATTGTTAAAATAGGAGACTGTGCAGGGAAAGGGTTCTACATGGAACCCAAAAGGGTTTTACCTGGAACCCAAAAGGGTTCTTCAAAGGGTTTTCCCATGGGGACAGCCGAAGTTTTATGTTCTAGATGGAACCTTTCTAAGAGTTCAGCTCATTCAGTGTAGCTCTTTAATAATGAATGCCTTTTAATTGATGGAGTAAGTCTCTTTCAATCGGAACATTTGTATTTATTTAACTAGGCAAGTCAGTTAAGAACACATTATTGGGCACAGACAACAGCACAAAGGGCAAGAAGTTAGAGAAAACTATACATCACGCGAAGCAGCAACAACTGTCAGTAAGAGTGTCCATGATTGAGTCTTTGAATGAAGAGATGGAGATAAAACTGTCCAGTTTGAGTGTTTTTGCAGCTCGTTCCAGTCGCTAGCTGAATGAAAAGAGGGAGACCCATGGGAGACTAATATAAGGGGTTTGATAGTGCTGCCAAAGAACCTCGGTTGTGAAATGCTTACCGAGGGCTGGCAGCAATAGGCTTCACTCTGCCCTCTGCTGCACACCTGAACTCGTATATCCCATTGATGACATCATTACCCAGACCACACAGCAGCTGCAGAGTAGAACAGAGCAGAAGAGTTAAGAAAGTAACCTCTTACTTAGGGGCCATGAGTTCTTCCTGACCATGAGCTCTGACCAGTAAAAGTCTGGGCCCTAGGTATAGCCAGCTGGTCATGAAGTCAGGAAAAACTCAGGGCTACTACTCATAATTTAAAAAAAATTACCTTGAGCTACTCAACTTTAATTGGTAACATGTCCATGATAATTCTGCTACAGTACCTTCAGCTGTTCGGGATCCCAGGAGTCTAGGGTGAGAGATCGCACTTTGGAGAGATGGACCCCAAGGCTCCTGTTAAAAAACCACAGCACAACATTACAGAAACATTTCAGAAACACGGTGGTGCAGGCTTTTGTTCCAGCCTAGCACTAACACACCTGATTCAACTAGTCAAGGTCTTCGTGAGACCTTGATCCGTTAAATTGGGTGTGAAAGTGCTGGGCTGGAACAAAAGCCTGCACGCCCTGTAGACCTGTTAGTCCCCCAGGACTACAAACACCACACACTAGCAAGGCAGTACCTGTGGATGCCGGAGCACTCGATGCACATGGTGATACCCAGGTTGACGCTGGCCCAGCGTGGGTCCTCCTCACTGCAGTCACAGCAACGGTGGTTCCCCGGACTTTGAAGGGCCACAACCAGAGCCGCAGGCCTCTGAGGAGGCTGTCCTGGCTGGGGGTCTGATGGGCTCTGGAGAGGCAGAAGGCTTTCTTTGGGCTGGGCACACAGAGAGGCATAGTTAGAATGTATTTGCCTGGAGATTCCTTAATAGGTCAATCGAAAGCCACTGTGACTGTACTACTGTTTGCTGTTTTGTTTAGTTAAATGTGACTTCGTTTCGTTAGTTTTTTACACTTTTTTTTTGTTAAAAATTGAAGTGCTCGACAATTGTAGTTAAATAGTGTAGTATGAAAAATCTGTGGAAGTGTCTGTAAGCATGTCTTGAGTTGTAAATACCTGAGGCTGCTGGGACTCCACTCTCCCGCGGTAGGCCATGTCTATGCTTCCCTGAACGGCACTGATCCAAGCCTGCTTCAGCTCCTCTGAGTCAGCCTGGAGGACACAGCATCTGGGCAGAGGAGGACAGTCAGGGTGGGTCAGTGAGGGTTAACTTGGGACTTGAGCTCTGCTTTTATTCAATGCGTCACATTCAAAACATAAGTAAAATATTTCCACTGTATCTAAAATCAGCTGCGATGTTTGCGCTGTTAAATCTTCAATTTCAAAGCTAATACTTCTTGATGATGTCAATGATTGAGTTTTTATTATCTCATAGATAAAGCTTCACGGACAGAAATTTAAACAACCTTTGGTGCAAAATGTGAGAAAAATGTTAAATACAACAATGAACAATATAGAAATTAAAACTGCTTAGCTACTTTTGAACAGAAACCAGCTCAAAACAGAAGCGGCGGTCAATGCTGTCCAGAGACTTCACCGCACACAGCCTGAGGTCATCAAACAGCGACACAGGCTCCTCCTACAGGAAGACAACTGTCAATCACAACTACCCAAGGACACAAACATTTCAGTAATAAAATTCTGCAGTACAACTATAATACATGATTGCTCAAAAGACCAAACAAATACCTTATGTGACTTTGTGTACACCAATTGGTTGTCTTTAATGGAGAACCAGCATCTAAAGCAAGATTTGAGATTTAGTGACATGTTTAATGAAAGGGAGCAAATAACTGCCATTGTGTGACATAAGTTGTAAGGTATCACAGTAAAGAATCTGTGTTTCTCTCGCTCACCTCTTCCATGTCTTGTTCTTTCTCCGAGATCTTTTGAAGAGGTGGCCCTGTATGGTTTCCCCACCATCAGGACAAGAACTTAGTATGGGCTCCCCTGAGGCCTCCTGGACACAAACACACACTTGTGTTAAGTGGTAATCCTTTAGCAACTGTGACCGTCTGGTATCTGATGATAACACTCACTGTCTGCTGGAACAGTAGGTGGGTATTCTCCAGGTCCTTTCTTTTAGCTGTACATTCAGTCGAGAGTTGGGCAAGCTGTCAAAAGGCATATGATCATAAATCTCAATGAACCAGTAAACATTGATATTGGCAGCCGCATTCTGGACTATATACTCCCTGCGTGGCATCATCAGGCACGTCCACAGAGAGGGCTCAACGAATGTTACCATCAGGCACGTCCACAGAGAGGGCTCCACCAGAGTTACCATCAGGCACGTCCACAGAGAGGGCTCAACGAATGTTACCATCAGGCACGTCCACAGAGAGGGCTCCACCAGAGTTACCATCAGGCACGTCCACAGAGAGGGCTCCACCTGAGTTACCATCAGGCACGTCCACAGATAGGGCTCAACCAGAGTTACCATCAGGCACGTCCACAGAGAGGGCTCAACCAGAGTTACCATCAGGCACGTCCACAGAGAGGGCTCCACCAGAGTTACCATCAGGCACATCTACAGATATGGCTCAACCAGAGTTACCATCAGGCACGTCCACAGATATGGTTCAACCAGAGTTACCATCAGGCACGTCCACAGAGAGGGCTCAACCAGAGTTACCATCAGGCACGTCCACAGATAGGGCTCAACCAGTGTCCGAGCACCTGCCCTTTTGCCCTCCTCTGAAAATGAGCCTGTGGATTTTTTATTTTGAGTCTCTTTTCAATGTAACAAATTGCCCATCAAACTAGCTAATTTCATGAACTCTTTGAATCTCACCTGTGTGACCATGGTCTTCATAGTGGGCTCCAAGTCTCTCAGCAAGTCAAAGCCTTGGTGGAAGAAGGTGTACTGGGCATGGAAGTAGGAGAACACCTAAAACAAACAATATACGGATGACTGATCAACCAATTCTACATCTTCAGTTCCACTCCCCACTGTTCTTCACAAGTCGCGTTTTTATTATTTATTGTCATTCTTTACACTGTGTGCACTTGGGTATTTAACTACGTTTGCATTTAAGATCACCCACTACAGCTTAGAAACTGGGACTCACAGAATTTAGGATGTCCAGCTTCTGTTGGGCCTTGAAGTTATTCAGCTGTAAGAAGAGCAATGGTTAAAAAGGACAAATTAACAAAAACAATGCAAGCCAAAAAAAAAAAAAAAAGTGTTCAACTTTACTAAATTAATTTCAAAGCATTGCATGTATTAATATGACATCACCTATCACTGAAGAAACCAAAATGAATCTACACTGCCTTAACTCCGTTAACTCTAGGTTTTGTTTATTAGGCACCAAATAGAAGAAAACGGACTGAAACAAGGAGGGACTTCCTTTACTTATCCAATAAGAAACGCTCATATTTCGTTTTCTGTTGCAATTATTATTGTTTTAATTGCGCCTTAATGAACACGACCCAGGCCTCATCCTTGTCATTAATAGCCATCCTAAAATGCTACTGTCTAGCCATATCATGGGTTGTCTGGTTATGCAACGGCCTGTTTATGATGACATACACTACCAGTCAAAGGTTTGGACACACCTACTCATTCCAAGGTAAAGAAAAATCCTTGAATGAGTAGGTGTTCTAAAACTTTTGACCAGTAATGTATGTGGGAACTCCTTCAAGACTGTTGGAAAGCATTCCAGGTGAAGCTGGTTGAGAGAATGCCAAGAGTGTGCAAAGCTGTCATCAAGGCAAAGGGTGGCTATTTGAAGAATCTCAAATATAAAATATATTTTGATTTGTTTAACACTTTTTTGGTTACTACATGATTCCATATGTGTTATTTCATAGTTTTGATGTCTTCACTATTATTCTACAATGTAAAAAATTGTAAAAATAAAGAAAAACCCTTCAATGAGTAGGTGTGTCCAGACTTTTGACTGGTAGTGTATCTGTTCCTGCTCCGTTAGACCTACCTAAATGTGTTCTCTCACCTGCTTACTCAAGCCTTAAACAAATAAACCCCTCCCGATGTTCCAGGATGTCTTTGCCAGTGAGTCTGAGTTCTCTGCTAAATAGTCTCCGCTGGGAATGCCCTACTTCAGTAGCCATCATCTGCTCTCTGAGGAATCACACATTTATTACATTTCCAATCTGGCCCTCATACCATCATCGCCACCTAATCATCCCCAGCTACCAATTGGCTCATTCATCACCTCTCCTCCCCCTTGTAACTATTCCCCAGGTCGTTGCTGTAAATGAGAATGTGTTCTCAGTAAACTTACCTGGTAAAATAAGGGTAAAATAAACACAATTACGGCTGAGTGTACTTTACACTGAGCAGAATGAAATAAATCATCTAAGTAAGAATTACCTGAGTGCTACTCACTCCGCTAACAATTCTTACCCTGTGTAAACGTCGCTAATCCCAAGTAGGGTTGCAAAATTCCAGAAAATGTCTCCAGAGTTCCGAGGTGTTTTCGTAATTCACAGTTGGATAAATCTTTTTTTTTTTTTTATACGTTTCCGGAATTTTGCAACCCTAATTAGTACCCCCTCAAACTAAAGTGAATTCCTTTGACTATAACTAGCAGTTTAGTTTACAAGTTGTATGTACTGATCTGTGGTTATGCATCTGGCAATTGCATTTACCTGCAAGCAGTAATCAAGGGCAAAGTGCTGGTGACATTTGCGTGTTGCCAACAGCAGATGGCTGGCGCGCTCTGCATCAGTGACTTTGTGGCGGAATATCTGGGCATTTTTCACCGCCGCTGTCTCGAGAGCCTCCCCAATCCGCACAAACTCCTTCCTAGTCTCTCCTAGCTGGGGTATGAACCTAAATGACAAGAACATAAAGGACATTTATAATGCATTGTGATGCATTATGATGCATTGTAAAACTTGTCATGAGCATGTATGACCTCTGTACACTGTCTTATAATTATCTCTTCTTCTTGTTTTTTGGTCACATACACCAGATAGGTGCAGTGAAATGTGTTGTTTTACAGGGTCAGCCATAGTAGTACGGCACCCCTGGAGCAAATTAGGGTTAAGAGATGTTTCACCTTGTCGGCACGGTTATTCAAACCATCGGTTATTGGCCCAACGCTCGAACCCCTAGGTTACCTGCCACCCTAATGATAATTATCCTGACTAGATTCCAGCCATTTTGAGTAAGTTGAAATGTTGATACATCGAGAGATGCCTTATTATAAGACATTATTAAGGATCATGCTTATAACAAGTTATAAGTGCGCCTGTGTGTCTGTCCACCTGTGTGTGCACGGCAACATACTTTGTGAGAAGGTTTGACAGCTGCTGAGTGATAGCTCTCTGCGTCTGGTCAAACAGCACCTAAAGACAGGAGAGAACCACTAGGAGAGTAAAACCTGTGCTGACTAAAGCACATAACAAGTGGACAACAATCATCCGTCTCAAGTGGAACTCAACTCACAGTATGAAAGTTGATCATCTCCTGTAGTCCTTGGATGAATTGACTCATGCAGTTCTGGAGAACAGAAGAGTAGAACGTCAACAGACATCAATTTAGTGATAATAAAACACAACCAAACTAATTGTAGCCTAATGATTTGTGTCCCTTATCATTGCCCCAAACCCTTCTTTCCCACATTTTAACCCTCTCCCTGTCCATACATACCATGATGACACTGTCACGTTTGTGATATGTTGAGAACTCAGCCACTCCGGCGAGGAAATTCTGATTTGCTGTGTTGTATGCTTGCCCTGATTCAACCATCTTGCCACAGAGCTTCATCACCTGCGTGGGGAGGTATACACACTCAGGTATTTATCACTTACAATTGACATGATTGCAGAAGCAAGATCATCATGCTGATACATTTTCAGAGCACACATAACTTTGCACCTTTTCCACGTGACTCTGCAGCTCTGCAACATCGGTCTGACACTTATCCAGGGTAAGCCTGAAGAAACCAATAAAAACGGATTATTCTCCAGTCTCCAGAAACTCAACATCAGAGCTATGAAATGCACCATACTGTCATATTGTTTAAAATCAACCAGACCAGTGTTGTGACAGGTATAGGGGCAATGAGTTTTTCCGTAAATACTGAGAAGGAAAAACTCCACGCCCTAGTGAAGGTTACCAACCTGAATGCAGGTGAGTCCTTGATGCATTCTTTATAGTCCAAGAATGTATCCATTTCGGCTATGATTTCTCTTCAGTAGAACGGTAGCTAGCTAATAGTTTTGACAAAATAATGAAATGCAATTGGAAACCCTAGATAGTATTAAGCTAGCTAATAACATTAAGCTAGCTATGTTTAAAAACTGTGTCGGCTATTCATGATACAGATTTAAAGCCACAACTTGCATCACCAACAGTGACAATAACATAACAAGTATTTTCAGTAGCTAGTGCATTAGTGGCATGCCTATCATTAGCCTTCGAGTAAGGGATAGCCTACAGCTAACCGGTTAGCTATCCTTCCTTGCAAGAGGATCGATGGGATCTCAAAGACTGTTGTTCTGAGCACGAGCGGCAATAAGCGCTTACAACAAGTTATGGAACGGATGAGTGTATAACAGCTAAACAGAATTTTTTGATTTGTCTCTTTGTAATAGCTAACTATAAATTCCAGTCTCAACCAGCTTCCTCCGCATCCATGCAAAGTGTTGTCAACCGCTTCTTCTTCTAAATATCCGGATGATGACTACTATTCTGCTAGCGGCACTAACGATGACGTCATTTTCCTATGGTAATGAGAAAACCTTCAAAACAAAAGTCCCCACTTCGAAACATTGCAAGAAGGATAACTCGTTCAAAAGATCCTACATTTTAATCAATGTAGATTTTTATTGTGCTTATAAGCACATCCAAGAAGGCATATATGTTTTTAAAAACATTATTTTAAGACCACTATTGAAAAATACAATGTTCAGACTGGTATGTGAAAATATTGCTCTTATAGTGTAAAAACGATTCTTTGTGCCAGTTTAAAAGTGGGGTTGGGAGTACTCAGTAGGGTATGTAGAACCATTTTGCAACAAAATAGGAAAATGCCAAGGGGGGTGAATCCTTTCACAAGCCACTGTCCATGTAGGTAGGGGTAAAGTGACTATGCATAGATAATAAACAGCGAGTACTCGGAGGGGGGGGGGGGGGGGGGGGGGGGGGGGGGGGGGGGTCAAAGGTATTCAGTGGCTTGCGAAAGTATTCACCCCCCTTGGTATTTTTCCTATTTTGTTGCCTTACAACCTGGAATTAAAATGGATTTTTGGGGGGTTTGTATCATTTGATTTACACAACATGCCTACCACTTTGAAGATGCAAAATATGTTTTATTGTGAAACAAACAAGAAATAAGACAACAACAAAAAATAAAACTTGACCGTGCATAACTATTCGCCCCGCCAAAGTCAATACTTTGTAGAGCCACCTTTTGCAGCAATTACAGCTGCAAGTCTCTTGGGGTATGTATCTATAAGCTTGGCACATCTAGCCACTGGGATGTTTTCCCTTTCTTCAAGGCAAAACTGCTACAGCTCCTTCAAGTTGGATGGGTTCCGCTGGTGTACAGCAATCTTTAAGTCATACCACAGATTCTCAATTGGATTGAGGTCTGGGCTTTGACTAGGCCATTCCAAGACATTTAAATGTTTCCCCTTAAACCACTCGAGTGTTGCTTTAGCAGTATGCTTAGGGTCATTGTCCTGCTGTAAGGTGAACCTCCGTCCCAGTCTCAGATTTCTGGAAGACTGAAACAGGTTTCCTTCAAGAATTTCCCTGTATTTAGCGCCATCCATCATTCCTTCAATTCTGACCAGTTTCCCAGTCCCTACCGATGGAAAAACATCCCCACAGCATGATGCTGCCACCACCATGCTTCACTGTGGGGATGGTGTTCTCGGGTGATGAGAGGTGTTGGGTTTGCGCCAGACATAACATTTTCCTTGATGGCCAAATAGCTCAATTTTAGTCTCATCTGACCAGAGTACCTTCTTCCATATGTTTGGGGAGTCTCCCACATGCCTTTTGGTGAACACCAAACGTGTTTGCTTATTATTTTCTTTAAGCAATGGCTTTTTTCTGGCCACTCTTCTGTAAAGCCCAGCTCTGTGGAGTGTACGGCTTAAAGTGGTCCTATGGACAGATACTCCAATCTCCGCTGTGGAGCTTTGCAGCTCCTTCAGGGTTATCTTTGGTCTCTTTGTTGCCTCTCTGATGAATGCCCTCCTTGCCTGGTCCGTGAGTTTTGGTGGGAGGCCCTCTCTTGGCAGGTTTGTTGTGGTGCCATATTCTTTCAATTTTTTGATAATGGATTTAAAATGGTGCTCCGTGGGATGTTCAAAGTTTCAGATATTTTTTTATAACCCAACCCTGATCTGTACTTCTCCACAACTTTGTCCCTGACCTGTTTGGAGAGCTCCTTGGTCTTCATGGTGCCCCTTGCTTAGTGGTGTTGCATACTCTGGGGCCTTTCAGAACAGGTGTATATATACTGAGATCATGTGACACTTAAATATAGTCCACCTGTGTGCAATCTAACTAATTATGTGACTTCTGAAGGTAATTGGTTGCACCAGATCTTATTTAGGGGCTTCATAGCAAAGGGGGTGAATACATATGCACGCACCACTTTTGCATTATTTATTTGTTAGAATTTTTTGAAACAAGGTATTTTTGTAATTTCACTTCACCAATTTGGACTATTTTATGTATGTCCATTACATGAATCCAAATAGAAATCAATTTAAATTACAGGTTGTAATGCAACAAAATAGGAAAAAACGCCAAGGGGGATGAATAATTTTGCAAGGCACTGTAAATGCCTGTAAATGCCAACTGTAGCTCAGTTGGTAGAGCATGGCGCTTGCAACGCCAGGGTTGTGGGTTCGTTTCCCACGGGGGGCCAGTATGAAAATGTATGCACTCACTAACTGTAAGTCGCTCTGGATAAGAGCATCTGCTAAATGACTAAAATGTAAAAAAAATAGTAAATAGTCCGGGTGGCCATTTGATTCATTGTTCAGCAGTCGTGCGGTAGCAGAGAGAACAGTCTATGACTTGGGTGACTGGAGTCTTTGACAATTTTGGTCAATCAAAATTCAGTCGATGACCCCCGGAATCTACAGTAAGGGAAAAAAGTATTTGATCCCCTGCTGATTTTGTACGTTTGCCCACTGACATTATGGTAGGTTTATTTGAACAGTGAGAGACAGAATAACAACAAAAAAATCCAGAAAAACGCATGTCAAAAATGTAATAAATTGATTTGCTTTTTAATGAGGGAAATAAGTATTTGACCCCCTCTCAATAAGAAAGATTTCTGGCTCCCAGGTGTCTTTTATACAGGTAACGAGCTGAGATTAGGAGCACACTCTTAAAGGGAGTGCTCCTAATCTCAGTTTGTTACCTGTATAAAAGACACCTGTCCACAGAAGCAATCAATCAATCAGATTCCAAACTCTCCACCATGGCCAAGACCAAAGAGCTCTCCAAGGATGTCAGGGACAAGATTGTAGACCTACACAAGGCTGGAATGGGCTACAAGACCATCGCCAAGCAGCTTGGTGAGAAGGTGACAACAGTTGGTGCGATTATTCGCAAATGGAAGAAACACAAAATAACTGTCCATCTCCCTCGGCCTGGGGCTCCATGCAAGATCTCACCTCGTGGAGTTGCAATGATCATGAGAACGGTGAAGAATCAGCCCAGAACTACACGGGAGGATCTTGTCAATGATCTCAAGGCAGCTGGGACCATAGTCACCAAGAAAACAATTGGTAACACACTATGCCGTGAAGGACTGAAATCCTGCAGCGCCCGCAAGGTCCCCCTGCTCAAGAAAGCACATATACAGGGCCGTCTGAAGTTTGCCAATGAACATCTGAATGATTCAGAGGAGAACTGGGTGAAACTGTTGTGGTCAGATGAGACCAAAATTGAGCTCTTTGGCATCAACTCAACTTGCCGTGTTTGGAGGAGGAGGAATGCTGCCTATAACCCCAAGAACACCATCCCCACCGTCAAACATGGAGGTGGAAACATTATGCTTTGGGGTGTTTTTCTGCTAAGGGGACAGGACAACTTCACCGCATCAAAGGGACGATGGATGGGGCCATGTACCGTCAAATCTTGGGTGAGAACCTCCAGGGCATTGAAAATGGGTCGTGGATGGGTATTCCAGCATGACAATGACCCAAAACACACGGCCAAGGCAACAAAGGAGTGGCTCAAGAAGAACCACATTAAGGTCCTGGAGTGGCCTAGCCAGTCTCCAGACCTTAATCCCATAGAAAATCTGTAGAGGGAGCTGAAGGTTTGAGTTGCCAAACGTTTGCCTCACAACCTTAATGACTTGGAGAAGATCTGCAAACAGGAGTGGGACAAAATCCCTCCTGAGATGTGTGCAAACCTGGTGGCCAACTACAAGAAACGTCTGACCTCTGTGATTGCCAACAAGGGTTTTGCCACCAAGTACTAAGTCATGTTTTGCAGAGGGGTCAAATACTTATTTCCCTCATAAATTGATTTGAATTTTAATAACATTTGTTACATGATTTTTTCTGGATTTTTTTGTTGTTATTCTGTCTCTCACTGTTCAAATAAACCTACCATTAAAATTATAGACTGATAATTTCTTTGTCAGTGGGAAAACGTACAAAATCAGCAGGGGATCAAATACTTTTTTCCCCTCACTGTATGTTGACCTGATCTTAGGAATTATTATTTTCTTAGCCTGACTTCCATAAGATTCTATAAATAACCACTCATATATATCGCTATCCTCTTCTACGTCAATACTGTAAACTGGAGGCTGAATAGAGTTCGCTAACTGTGGATAAATTCCTTTCATACTTTCAGATTCTGTAGTACCTACTCTTTTCATAAAGTACATTATGTTGAACCATTGCCAAATTACGTAGTTTCTTAACCGACTTTTCCTCCTTCCTACTTATATTCACTCATTAAATCCCATGCTTTATACACCTCTTTCATATAATCTAAATCCCATTTCGGGTTGCTTATTGCTGTATTATCAATTATATACTTTCGTGCTACTTGTAATTTATCCCTATTTGTCAATATGTTACATTGCATCTGCTCCCTCTCCTGGCCGTTTTGAGTAATTCACAAAATACTAATTCTCTCTTCATCACAGTACTCTACTTATGGCTTATTTTAACTGTAACCCTCTACCAAGGACTTTAACCTTAAACCAAGTACTACCAAGGATTTTAACTTTCAACCAAGTACTACCAAGGATTTTAACCTTCAACCTAGTACTACCAAGGATTTTAACCTTCAACCAAGTACTACCAAGGATTTAACCTTCAACCAAGGACTTGAACCTTAATATCTATATTCTTTCGTCACAGGACTTGAACCTATGAACAATGTTTATTCCTTCGTCACAGGACTTGAACCTATGAACAATGTTTATTCCTTCGCTACAGTACTTGATCTAGGACTTGAACCTACTTTGTCTACCTTATAATCTAGTCATTTTGAGGATTGAACCTATGACCAATTTTCGTACACATTAAAGGACCCTACGCCCAATCTTGTTAAACCCACTCTACTTCTTCTGTTTTGTGTTTTGGTCCTTACTCTGACCAAACCCTGCTTAGCATAATAGCTTAAATGTTCGTCACAGTTTAGCTTTACCACAGATAAGCAGAATTTGACATTATCATTAAAAAAAAAAGTATGCTTACCTGTTAGTTCGGCTGTAAATTGCATCCTTTTCGTGATGCC